ATTGCCGCCAGCTCAGAGACGCTATGAAATTCGTTATAAATACCAAAACCAGCGGACGCCTCATTCCAATCGTAGTTAATGAGAATCGTTGTTTGAAAAGGTCGTTGAATTATTTCGGTAATTGACGCACTTCCACCCACGAAGCCGTGAAACCACACCTATCTGAGGGTTTTTAGGAACTTCTACTCTTCCATTTTGATCTGGACCGTGGAAGAGGCGATCGCGTTAAGTGTTTAGTGTCACGGTGTGTTTTTGAATGTGAGTTAATAATGTGAGAAGTATTTCAGACTGAATTAAATGTTTTCCCATAGCCACATTCCAAACTCTAGTTCAAAGTTTACGTATAGTCAAACTCTGTGTGTGCGTTTGTGGATTAAAAACGTGATTCATATTAATCTGTTTTGTTTGAAAGTTAACGGCTTTTTTTTTTGTACTGAATCGCTTCTAGCGAAATACACTTAGATTTTTGCCGAGATTGGCACCACCAAGCAGGCTCGGCCTTTATTTTTACTGAAATCTCAGCAAAATTTATGTTTGTAAGCCGAGATCTTGACAAAATTCCCGTTTGTTAACTGAATCTCGGCAATTTCCGAGCAAGAACGAATATCTAGATACCTTAAATTGGTATGGATGAGCCTGACATAAGAGGTAAATTACCAAAAAATAATGCTCCCACAATATCATTCCAATACCAAATTATGATAATGCAATACCAAAACAGTACCACCCAGGTATTCTTTTGGTATCCAAATATTAATTTTTGGTATTTACAAAGTATTTTCCATGTAATTTTTTGGTATTATTCTTTGGTATTTTACCTCTTATGTCATGCTGGTCAATACCACTTCTTGGTATCAGATCAGAATTAGGTATTCATTAGTTATTTTCTCGTGCTCGGGTTTTCACTGAGATCCAGTAAAATAGATTGCCGAGCTGCTCGGTGGTGCCCATCTCGGCAAAAAAAAATCTAAGTGTGTTTGTAATGCTGGTCAATACCAAATTTTGGTATCAGATCAGAATTAGGTATTCATTAGTTATTTTCTCCTGCTCGGGTGAGCTTTCCCAGTAACTTTTTTTTGGTCTTGGAGATTTCTCGCGTTACGCGTCGTTCTTACTGTTTTTTTTTGTGCGCAAGGTTGGATTGCTTCCCGAGCAAGAACCGATAATATGTGAACATCTTAATGCATGCTCGTGGTATAAAACCATGTTTTGATATTACTCAGTTATCGAAATATTTTGTAAAATAACAAATAAGTACCAAAATAACAAAAAGCGATCTTTCAGTTTTGAGACAATAACACATAAAAGAGTTATCAGATTGGTATTAAAGGGTGATACGGTCAAAATTTGGTCAATATCAACTTGACGTATTTCTTTCAATTTTGCATTTAAAAAACCTGAACACACCTCATTTTGAAGGTGTGTGTGTGTAGAATGTTGCTCCTATTTTGATTTTGGAATTCACTCTTCAGTTGTCCAAGCAAGAAGAGCAGCGTATCAAAATTTTGCTCGCGCATCGCGAAAATCCGAGCTCGCAAAGTTGGCAAAATCGCTAAAAGTTGCCAAATCAACCGTTACAAATGTAATTAAAGTGTTTGGGGAACGTTTGTCGACAGCCAGGAAGTCTGGATCGGGGGGAAATCGAAAACCGGAAGCCGCTGAGACGACAAAGAGAGTTGCCGGTAGTTTCAAGCGAAACCCTAACCTCTCTCTCCGAGATGCCGCAAATAAGCTGGGTGTATCGTCTACAACCGTGCATCGAGCCAAAAAACGAGCCGGACTATCGACTTACAAGAAGGTAGTGACTCCAAATCGCGATGATAAACAAAATACGACGGCCAAAGCGCGATCCCGGAGGCTGTACACGACGATGCTGACGAAGTTTGACTGCGTGGTAATGGACGACGAAACCTACGTCAAAGCCGACTACAAGCAGCTTCCGTGACAGGAGTTTTATACGGCAAAAGGAAGGGGTAAGGTAGCAGATGTTTTCAAGCACATGAAACTGTCAAAGTTCGCAAAGAAATATCTGGTTTGGCAAGCCATCTGTACCTGTGGCTTGAAAAGCAGCATTTTCATAGCTTCCGGGACTGTCAACCAAGAAATTTACGTGAAAGAGTGTTTGAATAAACGTCTGCTGCCTTTCCTGAAGAAACACGGTTGTTCCGTACTGTTTTGGCCGGATTTGGCCTCTTGCCATTACGGTAAAAAGGCCATGGAGTGGTACGCCGCCAACAACGTGCAGGTGGTTCCCAAGGACAAGAACCCTCCCAACACGCCAGAGCTCCGCCCAATTGAGAAATACTGGGCTATTGTCAAGCGGAACCTAAAGAAGACCAAAAAAACTGCTAAGGGCGAACAGCAGTTCAAGGCAAACTGGCTTTCTGCGGCGAAGAAGGTGGACAAGGTGGCTGTACAAAATCTGATGGCAGGGGTCAAGCGTAAGGCCCGGCAATTCGGATTTGGAAAAGCGGAATCCTAACTGAATATTTTTCCTGAATTTTATACTAATTGAACTTGAAAAAGAAATTTAATTTGATTTTTTAAATAAACGATTTCACCGATTTACACGCGTTTTCCCTTGACCAAATTTTGACCGTATCACCCTTTAGAAGACCTTTTAAATAAAAAAAATATGGTATTCTGATATTAAAAAAAAGCTTTGAGTATCCATCAGTTGTTATAACAATTAATTTTTGTATAAGTTCGTTATTCGTAGAACATTTTTGAGATATTATATTTGGTATTTTCCCTCTTATGTCAGCCTCGTCAATACCATATTTAGGTTGCCATCCGCATACACGTGAATCATAAATTGACGATACCGAAAATGGTTAAACATTGTTTATAATCCCTGCTAAACTTGAACTGAAATAGCTATGGAACTTTACAGGAACGTTTGTATGACAAAGTTTTAACCTTATGTATTATGGTTTTTTAGAAGTGAACCTTACAAATAATGGGTTGTTAAGAACCATTACCATTCCAAATTCTTGTTTTATCCATACATTTTCGGAAAGCGAACTATATTAGAACCTATTAACTTATAGTTTGAGAACTTTAATGATAATGGTTATGGTAGTCAGTACGGTCCATGAATGGTTTTGTAACATCGATCAACTTTATGTGGAATATATCACGAATTGGTTGCCTGTAAATCACTGATTACCAATTCACGATATATTGCACGTAAAGTTGACCGATAATTCAAAACCTTTCATGGACCCTACTGACTACCATAACCATTATTATTAAAGTTCTCAAACCATAAGTAAAATGGTTCTAATATAGTTCTCTTTCCGAAAATGTATGGAGAACACAAGAATTTAGAATGGTAATGGTTCTTAACAACCCATTATTCGTAAGATCCACTTCCAAAAATCCATAATACATAAGGTTAAAACTTTATCATACAAACGTTCATGTAAAGTTCCATAACCATTTCAGTTAAAGTTTAGGAGGGATTATAAACAATTTATAACCATTATCGGTAAGGTCAAGTGATGGTTCGCGTTTATGCGGGCAGTTATGCTGTTTTCATACCTGATTTTGGTAATAATAAGTTATTTTCTCCTGTACGGGTTGGGAAATCTGTCCCTCCGCTCACGTTTCCGAATCGACCGGAGATATTTGAATGAGTGAGTTCCTCCGGTGATGATACTCGTGAGTGGTATTTTCGTGGGTAGGTAGAACGACTATTTTTAGAAATCGCTCAGGGTGACATCTATATTTGAGAAATCTCATTCGTCCGTTCAGTTTGAGTTTCCTAAATCGTTCTCCAAACCGCTAGTTCAAACAAAACCGCCCTGAGGTTGGGTTTCTTGGGACTCGCACTCGCAATCGCTTGCAGGTTGTCTGACCAATCTTTGTACCACCTTAGTGACTTTAGGTATCAAATGGATAGGCTTAGAATGCTTTCATTAAACAACTGTGGAAGTGCTCAAAAAACCGCAACTTGAGAGCCGGTATAAAGTCTCTGTGGGGACGTAAAATAGCCAAAAGAATAGGAATTAGTATAATTTCGGTCTATGTCTGAATTATTATGCGATACGAAAATAATCATGTACAGGAATTATAATGTGATTTGAAGTGACTTTAGTATACATCAGATTTCGGCCACTTTCTTGGTGGTACCTAGAGCATATGTTGCAAATTGGGTACTCACTTTTATAGCTATTGAACTTTTATGCGGTATTATACGTCGCAAGATAAGTTTTGGCTCATCTCGAATTTTGGTCGTGCAAAAATAATGATGGGCATCGGTCTTCGGTGCGCCGCCTCCATCTCACCCGGCGGTGGTGGTGCACAGATTTATTCCATAGGCCCCGCAATGGAGAGGTCAAAATATAGCATTTGGTATTGCCATCTAAACTTTGAACGTATTTTAACAATCTATTTATTTATTTAATCATATATTCTCTTACCGCCTTTATGAAATATTGAATGATGAAGAAAACTATGTTAATTAAATAATTACAAATATTAAGATTTCATACCGAACGGTCATCAATGAAAAAATAGCCTTCACTGTGGCACGTGTATTACAACTTGCTGTGAAAAATCTATTTCAATCATTATCGATCAACTATTTTCATTTCATAAAGCTTTGTTTCAAAATTATAGATGCGAATCGTATAAAAAATTTATTCCAACAAACTTACAAAACTTATTTCATCCACAATGAGCCTTGTATTTCAAATTCATCTCAGTAACTTTCGTTTATTTATCATATCGCATCTCCTATCGTTGTCGCCGGAGGGTCATCAGGACAGGGAGGACTCCCTGTTATAAAGATAACCTAACCTAAACACTCGAATAATAATTGTTTTATGTTTGTTTCTCACCAATCCACCTCCTGCTGCAGTACGTCAAAATGAAAAGTGGTTCCATGTATTGGACACAATAGAACAACGTATATTATTGTGAAAATATTCCCTTTCAATCCACAGCGACCACATTATGCAAGCACAGATTGGAATGCCACTCGGCACCACCCGATCCGTTCAGCAAACAATGACAACACAATCCGCAAGCTACTGGTGGCACCAGCACGCGTTCCTGCTGTTGTTCCGGGCCCAGGCGACGAATTTCGTAACCCGTGCATAAACACCAGGATAGTTACGTTGGGCACACTCCTTACCCCAGGACACGACTCCGACAATCTCGTGCCGTCCGGTCGAAGGATTTACCAGCTGCAAAGGTCCACCGCTGTCTCCCTGGAAAGGAAACAAGAAATGAAGAAAAGCACCCGTCATAAGCTCTACTAACAAAAGATGAACTTGAAAGTTCATGGATGTTATTTTATTTTCGGATCGAATTCTTCCAAGAAATTGGACTGGGGAAATTACTGGTACGTGGAGTGGATTATAGCAAAATAGTACCTACTCTCTTTCAGTATAATGGATTTTTCGTAAAAATAATCTATTTGTGTTGGTTAACCATTTTGGTGCGCTTCAGATTTGTTGAGCTTATCAAATTGGCCTGTCATATATAACCTTTATATGTATCCACCTATATTGATTCCAGACATTTCTCACTAATTCAAACAACCAAACAAGACAAAGTGGACAACTACGGAATGTTATGTGGGTCTGTGTGTAGACTAATATAGTTTAAAGGACCGTATTTCAGTTGACCAGGGATGGCCAATTTGGTCACCAAAGATCAAGGCCATAAATATTCATGAGATTTTATAAAATTTTTGTTCATGTCAGATGCTGGCCTTTTCCCCGTTGGCAGAATATGTCCGAAATTTGATACACGATTTTCTCAGATTTCAGAGTTGAAAGCAAAACAGGGGAAGTCAACCATTTATAATATTTTAGATAACAAATAACATTTGTTCTAATATGCTCGGATGAGTTATGAATTTTCAAAGTATGTGATGCCCAGAAAATTAAAAAAAAACTTCAGCTAAACTTATCCGGTAAAAAATGGCTACCTTAAATTTTATGAATTTTTGTTTCGTTCATTTGATCATAAATTCTAACTGTAGGCAAAATTTAATAGCATTCTGATAACTGATAGTATGCTTTGTTGTGTATTTTTTCACAGAAAATTATTCAGAATGTCTCATGCATAGTTTCTTAAGTATAAATTACATAAAACACGTTTTAACAAAAAGCTCAAAAAATTTACAAAAAAATCTTGTTTAACGAGTTTTGTCAATTTTAAGGTGTCTATTATAATAAACATTTAAAAATTTGCACTTTTCAAAAAAATCAACATCGGACTAGGACTTATTTTTTTTAAGGTTTTACTTGAAATCGCAAAACGTATTTCTTTGTATATTTTTCCCTAAAAAACAATATTTTTCTCTACAAGTTTGACTCGGACGTCATTTTGATTAGAAGTGTCGTTTCCACGCTACATTTTTTTTTTAATTTAAAGGACGCCATTTTGGAAATTTGAAAATATACAATATGGCCGAATTTTTGCAAAAACATTTAGCCAAAGTTTAATGCAAATCGGAGATGGTGGAGTTTTTCCGAATCATCATTTGGCGAGGAACTGCTCAAATACACTGAACATATGAAACTGAAATTTAAACCCCTTTAATTGAACCGTACATCTCAATTCATGGAAAACATAAATGCACTGCGAGCTCATTGAGCTGCTAGAATTTGGCGGGATAGTCACCACTGACATCATTATGGTCAGCATCCTCAGACATCGTACCTAAATGGCCATCATAAATTTATTCCGACCAGCACTGACATTTACTTATCCCACTCACCTGACACGAATCTCGTCCGCCATCCAAATATCCAGCGCACATCATTCGATTGGTAATCTGAAACCGAAAATATCCGGAACGTTTGCATTCCTGATTGGACATGATGGGTACGGTCAGTTGCTGCAACGTATCCGACAATTCTCCATTGGCTGTAGTTCCCCAACCAATCAACATAGCCTACAATTGGTACAAATGCGGTTATCGTCGATGGCCAGTCCGGAATGCATGGTTTTAAATTACCGTTCTGCCCACATAACTATCCATTCCATCGGGTAGGCAAATTGGCACCAAATCTGGTTCGATTGGAACGGATTCCGCAAGCCGCAGTAGTGCAACATCGTTATTAATCCTGGCTCCCTGATAACGGTTTAGAGTGATGGTTTCAACCCGCCTTTGTATCATTTCTGGAAACAAAACAGTCATTTTCCGATGGTTCAAAGTTCCATAGCAATTTCAGCTCAATCATACCGGGATTACCCATCCCAATATTTGGTCTCCGTAGAAACACATCAAACTGTTTGGCATCCGATCTCGCGACACAGTGCGCTGCTGTTAGAATGTAGCGATCGTTAATCAGGCTTCCACCGCATGTAAACAGTCGCCTGTAGTAGAGTGCCGCCATCCATGGATATGCGCTTATGTCGCTTTGGTTTCCTCCGATAATGCGAGAATTCACGTTCAGGCCACCGCACGCTTTAGGAAAACGAAGTTGAAATTTCCATTATAATGCTAAATCCATTCAATTCCGAAATTCCCCAGAAGTAAAATCCTCTAAATTTTACCCTATCGCGAATCAATAGTCAACATCACACGATTCCTCACCGCAACTCGGGCAACTCTTCCCGGTAGTTTCAGCTTTCCGTTCAGGAATTTCCAATTGCAGCGAGGATAATGCAATTGGAAGATAACACAGCAAACTTAATATTAAACACGATAAAACTTGGCCGGGCATTTTCCAACTTTTAATGCAAATAGCTTCTCTCGGCGCTCTGGAAAACTTTTTAATCACCCGTCGCTCGCACCTGAACTGTGCCAACACTGAGCGGCAACTGGTGCTGGATGCCGTGTCTAGTCTTAATGAAACGCTGGAACATTGAGAGAAAGTCTTCTCCGTCAACTTGTGGTGCATGGACTCCGATGAAGACAGAGGGAAGAAGATGAAAGTGTACCAGAGAAAGGGCCAAAGGTGCAGCAAATGAATTTCATGCATCATTAAGCAGCTGAGTGAAATGTATCTGATATTGGTGGTTTAGTAGCGCAGTGACATGCTAATTATTCAAAACGATGACGATGAATAAATGAACAGGCTTGGCGTAGTAATCATTTAATTGGATAGTACATGTAACGAGGAATTGACAGCGCTGTGATTTAATAATGACTCAACTTTGGTGTTTGATGCACGTATCAACTATTTTCCATTGGGTCCATGCAAAAATCTAACAATCGACAATTATCAACGGAGACTTGTGATAAAAATTCAAATTTCATTGACGGCAATCGTATGTGCAGGAAGCTTCCACACCTGCGTAGGATATCGCACCCATTCAACACACACGCTTACCACTACTCCACAGGCGCCGGCTATGACTCAAAGTTGAGAGCTGACAGAACGCTCGCTAAAGAAACATAGATAGTGTAGTAGAAGAAGAACCAATAATTTCAGGAGATTTGAAAGAACTTGAAGGAAGCTTCTAGAAAATCAGGACATATCGGAGAACTTTAGGGAAGTTCAATTAATTCAATGGAAATCGTTGGATCTTTAAAGGAAAACATCAGCAAAACTCCGAGTACATTTAAGGGGAAATTCCGTGTTCTTAATGGCAGATTCGAGTACTTAATAAATGCGGGCGCTTCAGCAAAGATCAGAAAACATCGAAGACAGTTCCAATTTCAATAAAATTTCTATAGCTTTTAGGAAGTTCTGTAATCTCTGAAATAAATGTGGTTTCATTTGTTTAAGAAGTTCCGAGTACTTTGAGAATGATCAGAGACCTTCAGAGCAGCTCCATGCACTCCAGGAAAATTGCAGAAACTTTCATGAAGTTCCGAAGAATTATCGAATATTTCGGGAATTTTAAGAATGTTTCGAAAACTTCAAGGACATTACGAGATCTTCAGGGAAGCTTGAACACTAAAAAATCCGGACACGAAAATCTTGTTGGGGTTTAAAAATGCGTTTTACTGTCCATAGTTCAATGTAACACCTAAACATTAATAGGTATTATGTTTATTGTAAGCTCATTGTTTCAGTCTTCCTTATTACCATCCCAAGTAACATTTCAAGTTTTATTGTGGTTTTAAAGTATTCTTCAAGTCTAAATCATGGTCTACAGAACCCTCATAAAACCAAAATTGTTGCTTGGGATAGGCCATTGCAGATTTAGGTGGAAGGATATGTTTTGAGCCTGAAATTGAAACTTTAGATTAAAAGTCTCTTCTACAAAGTGTTTTCTTATAGTTAGGCCCTCATTTTTATGACAATAAATTCTAGGGTAGTTTTTATTATCATTAAAATAATAAAATTAAAGGGTTGTGTCCTAGACACGACCGCAGTATGACGTAGAACTACGCAAAATTGATGTATGTCATGCATTTTTGATTATTATACTTTATCCTAAATTTTTGAAGTATTTCAATGTTTCGGTTATGGTTCAAAACTCGCGACAATTCATGTTAGCATATTCAGACCACGGTTCATCTTACGCATGAGATAACGTATTTAAATTTAATGTAATGGTTAAGAATTGACAGAATTTCCCCTACATATCTACCTTGGGTTGATAAATGTTGAGTTATTTTGCTGTGATCAATGTGCACTAAATTTGACATCGACATCGAATACAATAGGATCTGACACTATTTCGTCACAAATTTTTTGTTGATTTGCACCTCAGTATAGAGCTTTTTGACGTTTAATCGGTGCACACTAATGCAGCATTTAAATTGAAGGAGTGCGAGCAAGAGGGAAACAGATTAGTGGGAAAACAAACGCGGGCTCGTAATCACACAAGCATTCCTGAGTAATTGCGCCAATTAGGTTCTTTAATTTTATAAAAGTGTGTCGATTTTTATACACCATCTGAAAAAGCTCCGTTTTTTGAGCACAACGATATTTTTTTCGAAGCCGTAGACTTTCATCTCGATTTTTAAATCAAAGTTTAAAGCAAAATATTAACTCCACTGTTTGACACTAAACTAACAAATTGACAGCTCGCTCCCATACAAAGTCCCATTGAGGGGCGCTAAGATGGTGATATTTGCTAATGTAATCGCACTTATTTAAAAAAAAGTTCATGTGCTCTAATATTGATCAAATTTTGGTTTCGATTCCATGTTTAATGTAGATTACGAATATGCCTTTACGTCAATACCCTTAGAGAGGGGTATTTCTATAACTAACTTTTCCGCGTTTCGTATTAGAGGATGTTCATTAACTACGTAGACATTTTTTTTGGGATTCTTGCCCCCCTCGTAGTTAATGAACAGCCCCTTAGTTGAACGGGACCCAAGTCACCTTTAACCACTGACTTGCTCCTGCTTACTGCAGGACCAAGCACCACGCCGTCCGAAGCGGTAATGAGCAGAAGCGCGACAGCAGTGCTGTTTTATATCTTTTCAGAACAATGTGCAACTCGATTGTGATGACTGGGTTTGGGAAAAAACGCTTATTTCATGAAAACAGTAATAAAATTATCATTTATACATTTTTCAATGTTTTATTACAGAAAAATTGGAAAAATATTTATTTCAGCAGGTTCGTAATGTTATATCCTATCGATTGGCGTATTTGGATTTTAATTTCATCTATAAATGACAAAGTTACAAGCGTTCAAAACCTAACACTACTTCACCACACATATTTTTTGATTTGCACCCCAGTATAGTCGACAAAGACGTAGTTATACGTCAAAAATCTAACTATTTTGTTTGAAGAAATTAAGGTATACATTTTTCAGCAAAGTTATAGCACAGCTAATTTCAAGCAACTTTGTAAAAAACAATATTTTATGTATCTTAAACTGACCGATTTAAAGCTATTTTCTAGAAATGAGTTAGGGTGTCCCTAAGAAAAAGTTGTTTTGCTCTAGTTTTCTTATTTCAAATTTCTCAGCAAACGTGCTTCCAAATAACTTTTAGATCTTTAGAAGGCAAACATTTTTGCTGCACAGAGCTTGTCGATATCTTTCGCCGTTCAAGAGTTATTGATGTTTTGCTACTAAAAATATTCCCTTTTCAAATGTTAATATCTCTGGTTGGAACAAACAAAATATTATCTCAATAATGTGAAAAAATAAGAAGTTTATTATTTTTTAAACTCGAATAAAATCAATTTTATTGATTGATTGATTGATTTATCTTTATTAATGAGGCTTTCAGCCTGAGGCTGGTTCACCTCCAATGAAAATCAATTTGAATTTTATGATATATTTTACTACAATTGAGTATATCTTATTAATTAGAAAAGATACAGCTAACATCTTCCGCTATAAAACATGCGTCTTGATGAGTTTTAAACTATGCCTCAGAAAATCCTGGTGGCACGGACTGGAATTGAACCCAGGCCTTTTGCGGTGAGAGATAATTATGCTGACCACTACACCACCGCTTTTAAAAATTTCTAACAAGTTTTTAAAAACTTCAGGAACTTCGAGGAAGATCTAGGCATATCATGGCAAATCAAATGACTTCAGAAGAATAGTGGAAACTTTTATAAAATAACAACTAAATAGCAACTCTAGACAGGAACATTTTAGAGAGCTTCATTGAAAATCTAAGACCTTCATACATTATTCAGACATAATTTCAGAAAAATCAAAGGAGCCTTGAAGATGTTCTGTAAATTTGAGGGAAAATCAAAGAATTCCAGTGAAGTTATGTATTTCAGGCACTCTTCGAGAACACAGAGGCCCAGAGAATTTCGGGAACTTCATAGAAGTCCAGAAAATTTTAAGGAAACTCCGAGAACTTCAGGGATTGACGGCACCGGTGGTGTAGTGGTAAGTGCTATTGCCTCTCAATCCAAAGGGCTTGGGTTCAATCCCAGTCGGTGCCGTCGGAATTTTCTGAGGCATCAGATCACGCCTTCCTTCGGGGAAGTACGTTGAACCATCATGAACGGCCATCCCGTAGTGGTTATATCACAGCATTGCTAATAATGTACACTGGAGTCGCTTTTTACGCGGGTGATACGTCCCGCGTAAAAAAAAACCGCGTAAAAAAAAACCGCGTAAATTCCGGAATCCGCGTAAAAAAAAACCGCGTAAATTCCGAAATCCGCGTAAAAAAAAACCGAGTAAAAAAAAAACCGTGGAAGAAAAAACCGCGTAAAAAGCGATATACCGCGTAAATTCTGAAATCCGCGTAAAAAAAAACCAAAATCCGCGTAAAAAAAAACCGCGTAAATTCCGGAATCCGCGTAAAAAAAAACCGCGTAAATTCCGAAATCCGCGTAAAAAAAAACCGCGTAAAAAAAAACCGTGTAAAAAAAAACCGCGTAAAAAGCGACTCCAGTGTATATAGCTATATCTTTTCCGGTACCATGGAAAATAGTCGACAATATTAAAGTATAAGGAGAGCCGCAAAAAGAAGCATATGCGATTCGAAAATGGAATAATGCTCGTGTTACGGTTTTATAGGAACTCAAGATCATCATACTAAAAATGTGGACATCAATATATCGTGGATCACATCAGAAATGACATGGGGGACTTTTCAGGAACTAGCGGTGAAGGACAACGAGCTCACAAATAGACACGACAAGCGGACAGAAGAGTGAAGAAACAGCGAAAGTTGGAGAGATCGTTTTAAATTATTATTCATATGTATACAAACATTGCTTATAATGAAGACGCGCCAAAATAAAAATTAATTTTTTTTTTTATTCTGGAAGTGTGAATGCATTACATGTATTCAATTGATATATCGATGTGTTAATGTGGGGCTTATTGTATATAAAGGCAACCTCAGAATGTACGTGTATGAACAGGTATTTTTGAAATGGGTCGTTGAATGTACAGTAGAGCTA